GCATTTCATATGCAATAAAAAGGGAATGTAAAAATCATTTATGATTATTAAATACGCATTCAATATGGAACGTTTTACATAATTAAACAATGATTCAATTTAATACTGGAGCAATACAAAGTTGTTGTCATAAAAAATTTCATGTTTGCAATGTTCATTCAATCATGCAAACATCTTACATGTATTCTTTTAAAATTATCTCAGAAACAATCGTATTCATAGCACTGAGAAACTGGGTGCTAAATATTTTGATTTAAAAAAAAAAAAAAGCAAGAACGTAATCATTGAATCACTTTTTACACAAAAATATTAAATTATACAATAATTAATATTAGAAAAATGTATATTAAAAGAAACGAAACAACAAAATTTTTATTATAGATAAGACATATAATCTCCCTCGTTTTGCTCCTTTTAGTATTTAACTTACCAATTGCTGATTTTTAAGATTGCTTAAAACATTGCTTTCCCAATTTCTCAATTATAGCAACTACAAATAATTGTATCCGCTTCGTTTTGAACATATTATCAACATCAACAAAACTTAACGAAACAACAAACTTAAATATCTTTTTCTTTTCTTTCTTTTTTTTAGAATCGTTAAAAAAAAAAGATCAATCATTGTACAAACCGAAAAAGTATACAACACGTCATGGTGACGCATCAGTAAACCTCCGGTATTCTTTTATAAATAGCGTACTCGTGATTTGCTGATGCGTTATTTCATGACGTACTGTGAATAGAGGACCCTCCATAATAAGATGATACATGACAATAATAAAACGGAATGAAGAATAATTCGATCTCCAACGTAATCGTAATTTTTCTTTTTTTTTTCTTTGTTGTTGTTCAATATATGTAGGTCCTGTTGTTAACAGTAGTACAATCGTATTCGCGATTCTCTATGAACACGTTATATTAACACAGTAAAATATATGTGCATGTAACTACTTAAGAATTATTACAGAGCCGCTATTCTTTATCCGTTTACAATTACATATATGTATATATGTAATATGTATACATATATACGTGTACATACACACGGTGTTCTGAAAACGGCAATACAAATGAAAAATATAAAATTCCTCGCCTCGAGATCGAAGAGACTTTTTCGAAAGAGTAACTTTCTGTTTGTTTTCCCCCTCCCCCTTATCGTCTTCGACTATCTCGCCGCAATTAAATGCAAGGGCAGCTGTGCGTTCATGAAACATTAAACGTTTATATTCTCGAGCACGTTCCCCGGTCTGAGACTGTATGACAAAGCTGCGTGCGCATTTCAATTTTTCAATCGCAACTTATTTGAAGAAAGCTGAAACTTATTTCACAGAAAAAGTTATCTTTCTAGTACATTTCTTTGTTTTCAGCGATGCAAAATCTTACATTTCTCGCTTGTACAGCACTATTTTCGGCACACCTTAATATATATATATATATGTATTTATATTTATATTTATATATAATTCTGTGGATGGTGAGTGCCCATCTTTCTTTTTTTACCTTTCTTTCTTCACCTTTCCCATCTCTCTTTCTCTCTCTCTCTCTCTCTCTCTCTCAATCTCGCTCTCAATCTCTCTCTTCCGCTCTCTTGCACTCTTTCTTCTCCGATCTCAAATGTTTATCCAAGGGCAATAACCCATTTTTTCATTTTTTTCTTTTCTTTGTCGCTCACGCCACTGATTTTTAGGTGTAAGACTTATAAGTGGTCAACAATAAGAAGCACAGTATTAACAAGTAACGTTTTGTTGTTTTGCGCGTGCACATCCACGCATTCCTTCTATTTTCTTGTATTCGTACACGTACACATACACAGGCACACACACGCACGCGCGCACATTCTCTTTCTTGTTCTCCTTCTTTCTCTTCCTGTTCTCCTACATCCCTATTTCTTTGTCTCCCCCATTTGCCAATCTCTCCTCTCTCTTTCATTCACTAGTTATCTTACTATGAAAACTTACTCTATCGACATTGCTCAATGACTGAAGATTTCCTCGTAGAGCTTCTGTCTTCTTCTTCCTATTGTTTTTTTTTTTTTGCGTTGCATCTAAAAAAGCATATAGGATAGTATTACTTTATCGTTGTTTCAGTAACAAGAGGGGATTTCATAACGCTTTCAAATTTCACTAATGTAGAAGTTAATATCAATTTAAATCGTTTGTAAGAAAGCGAATGATTTTTAAAGCACGAATTTTGAATATCTTTTGAAACTATATTGCGATCTTACTCTATGTATAATTTAGAATAGATTTCACTGTACCGCTAGTATTACATTATTTCTGAGAGGATTAGTAAGCCGGGGCTCGGAAATCGGGCATCCGTTGCTGCTGTTGTTGTTGTTGTTGTTGTTGTTGCTGTTGCTGTTGCTGTTGACCAAAAGGTGGTTCTTGGTAGCCGGTATCGGTCGCATCAGGATAACTTGTATATCCTGCTCCACCAACAGGATCTGCTTCGTAACTCGGTGCGAATGCAGCATCGGTTCCTTGCTTGAATCTTTGGAAGGCGAACCAGGCACAAGCAGCCTGTTAAAAGTTCCATATGAACATATTAAATGACCAAATAAACAATAGATACTTAAACAACGAACAAACGTTTAGTAAGAATTAAGCACAGACAAATTATTAACAAAAATATGAATACAAGAAAAGTTTGAGTAATATACCCAGGTAAAAATGGAGAAGAAGGAGAAAGCAATAGCGCTTTGGACATTATTGTTCGCTGGCTCTGTCGATTTATTCCAAGCGTTGGTTAAATAACAGAATCCAACGAAGTAGAGAAACGCCCAGAAGCCTGAAAATCTATAATGAAGATTTCCGGTATTAAATGGTATTTCATTGGTGTTGCAGCTGCAAAAACTGAACATACGCTGATTAATGAAGGTTACTTATTAAACCTCTAATAAAACCAGCTACAATGTTAAGTCGTAAAACGTTCAGTTTCAACAATCTCGCGGTAAAATTATTTTCGGTTAAATATAATATGGAAAGTACCCTAAATCAAGAAGGACAAAATGCTTCCTGGTCTTAACGGAGGACATCTGTTCGAAGAGATATTCCCCAGCAAGAAATCCGATGCTTGCAAGAAAGGCAAGGACTCCGATTCCTATCCCATAATTACAAGCGTTGTGGTCCTCGTTGTAGAGGCACACCTCTTTTCCGTCTGCCTTTGTCACGTACCCCTTGTTGCTTATGCATCCGAATACAATGATCGCGAAGAGCTATAAAATTAAACAATTTTCACAATTTCTGAATAAGATCAATTTGTTACGGTACATCTATCTGTACAATTATTATAAATTCACGAGTTCACGGTAGAACAGTATATTCAGTTTTCAAAGTATTTCTTTATTACAGATACGACCATATCTCAACAAAGTAATAACACTGCCACTTCTCTTTTATACGACGATATAACTACGTGATTACATTCACCTGATAGAAATGAATAAATTGATTTACACCAAAAACAAAAAAAAAAAGTGAAATTATAATTTTGAAGCTTGTAAAACGCGCCAAAAATTTATCTTGAAATGATTCCGACAGTTTTCAAGAATGCTGTGTGTGCAGTATGAGGTATCACTTATTGATAATTATCACTGGTGATAAAGTCATTTATGCGATTAATTTACACATTCTTACGATTAATCTTTGGAATTAAATTTCTAAGCTTTCGCTGTTATGTGTCGTGTGTGTATAATTATTTTATATGTATTTGTACAATATCATCTTGTTTTAAATATACGCAGATTTAAGTCGCGTTCAAGTGGTTCTAATTATAATCGTGAAAGTTTCTTTATGAAAATGGACCAGAAATTTCGTGCATAAAATTTACTCTTATAGATAATGTTTGACGGAGAGATAGGTAAACACGTTCCAAGATAATACCGAAAAAAGCTACACGGTTGAGGGAATGTGAGAAATTCGTCGCAAAAATTTGTTTTCTTCCGTATCGAAAAATCGAAATTTTTGGTGGTTAGTCGTCAGTTCCGATATTCCTTCAAATATTTGTTTTTTCTTCCTGCGTGCCTATTTATATAAAATCGAATCTATATTCGGCTTGGTCCAGTTCCGCCTTGACACGGAAGTGGGTTAGACGAAGGACACAATTCTGAGAAGGAAGAAAACAATTGAAAGTAAAGAGCAATCGTAACTACGAGACGTGATCATTAAAAAAGACAGAATTATTATTTACCTCTACTCGTGCCACAACGATAACATAAGAAAACTAATTTATGATTAAATGTGAGAGGAATATTGAAATTCCAATGTATACTTCTTTCAGAATTTCGGATTCCCAAGCTGATCGATAATGTTGAAATTTTGCCAGTCGGTAATTGTTAATTGTTCCACATAAATTGTACGAGAATGTGTATAAATCTTCGTTAAGATCCTATTAAAACTTTAAACATTTTAAGTTACGAAGTATTTTACAAAGACTATATGGTATCTAATGTTTGTTTTAATTTTTCACACTAATAAGAACCTTGGCGAAATGAATAATCTGTCCGTGTATTAATAATTCAAGGCTTTTAATTTGTTGAAGAACATTCGAAATTTGACGGTCTCCTTTGTAGGCAGATTATCGATTTACCATTAAACTATTGAACGAAAATATCCTGCGGAAGTGAAAAGATATATATTTCAAAGAAATGTGTATGTGCGAAATTAATTTTGCATACTTTGAAATATGAAAATCACAAAATCTCGCCGTGAGACATCAAACTGATAATGGTTTCCATTCTTCGGACGATTTCTGCATTTTGAGTCGTAATTAAAGCCTCATTAAGATTGTACACGGTTTCCACCTCGAATATCCTCTTAAATTTCAACCTCGCGACGTCCCCACTCGCAACTTGATTTCTTCTCTTAGAGCATTAAAAATAGTGTACCATCTTCACGGTCTAAAACTATCAAATATATCTGACGACGAATAATAGGATTTTCGCAAAAAGACATTCCAGACTATCGTTTGACCTTTCGATTTATCTTACCCGCTCAAAAGTTGAGATAAAATGTGTTCAAAAGATCAATAAAAAATTTCACGGGATCTAATATTATGGGGTGTATCGCAGGAAATTCGCGAAAAATCAATAGAACCCCATCGTGTCAAACTGGTGGGGGTGGTTCACCCTTTAAAATCAATGTTCGTCGCATAAAATCGACGTATTCTTCGATTCACAAAGACGTCATCGTAGTATATAGGAAGTTATTGGGTGTTCGAGAGAAAAACTTACCAGACATAGGGATCTTAAAATGACTTGAGGCCTTTGGACGAAGGCAATGGGGTCGAAAGGGGCTCCTGCCTTTCCTCCACCGTACGCTCCACCGTCCATCTTATTGCGACTGAGCTGAAATTTGAAAGCTCGAAGCTAATGGAAGCGCGCATGCGCCGCAAGACAATACTCTTTTCTACCCCCACCAGCCGATTTTTTGGGGTGGATCCTTTTACAGGGGCGCTTTACGTGGATGGAACGTAAGTTAATCGAGAACTCGATCGTTTTCGATTAACTTGTCCAGCTTAATTTAATTGCATGATTAATTGTTTAATTTGGTTAACATACATAACAGCACGACTACATACGTAGAATCCATCTGTTTGTGTATTTTCGACGAATGCAAGGTTTAAAATTAGCCCTACCATGAAACTGCAAAGCGTTCTGCAGAATTCTCTGTAAAATGTCGACAATAAAATTTAGAAGGATCTATAATAAGCGACACGTTAAATAAACAAGTAATATTTCTCACAGAATCGCAGTTCGATTATTGAACAGGAATTATTATCGATTCGAAAAACGGTATTAATCGAGAGCTCGACCAGAATTCGATAAAATCGATTGATTCGATTTCCTAAATATTTACGGCTATTTCTTTATTCTTTTATTAGTCATGAATTATTTACTTAATACAATTTACAGTATTATTGCCAGAAAGATGTATATTAATGATAAAATTTGAAAACTAACTTTTATTAGATTTATAACAAATTTTCAATTCTATTAAAAAACTATAAATAAAATAAAAATAAGAAATTAAGGTTCTTTAACTTAATAATAGTTTTAAAAGTAATAAAAAATAGTCATTTCTTTATTGTTTGTATATTGTGTTTACATCAAAATTGTCAAGTTAAACATATCTTGAATAATACAAGTGTTACTAATCCTATTCCACTAATGAAAATACAAACTCGGCGGGTACGATTACGTTTCGGTTTTACCCTTAACTGTAAAAAACAATAAAAATTGTGAATTCGATTTTAAGTGTTATAAAATAAAGTAGCATTGTAATGTACTAATTTGTTGTCAGAATCATTGAAACATACCCTTAAAATTAATTTTTCTAGTTCAGAAAGACTTTTTCTTGCTTCATCTATTTCTGCTAATGTTGCATTAATAGCAATAGGTAATATTTTAGAAGTGCTCAGACCCTTATCAGGATCAACAAAAGTGTTAATTCTTTCTTTTACAAGTCTTAATCGACAATACGTTACAAATGCTTGTATTAGAGAGATATGCTGCTCACCATGTCCAATTATTTCAAGAAAGTGCTGATTCCTAAAAAATGAATGTATATAAACCTTAATTAAATTCAACCTACCTAATGACCAAATTACACATCTTTATATAAAACAGAAACCTATTTAAGCAATTTTAACAGCATAATTTTCTACCTGTCTTCAACATTTGCTATTACAATACCAGATCTTCTCTTTTTTAGATTTAAAGTATTTTGTAATTCTTGAGCTTTTTGAGGATTAGTGCCTATATTAACATTTTTTAGATTAGATATAAAGTATATCATTTTATAAACATTAATGTAATACAACAAAGAAATTCTGATTTGGAAATATTAAATGAAAAGTTCTGTTGGCTTTGTCTAAATTAAATCTCATTGTGCACTATTATTAATAAGTTAAAACCTTTGTAATTTACCTAACATTACTAGTTCTTGTATACTGAGCTCATGTAATACATCAGTTGATATGTTTCTTTTTTTGCATTCTGGTATTAATTCAGATGCACCCAAACCACGCAATAAAGAGGCTGTTTGCTTGGTAAAACCAAAGGGATCACCATAACTATTCATTGTTTCAAGTTATGCTAAAGGTTAAAAATTAAATTTTCTCATTTAAAGAACGTATCAATATGTTTTGTTACTGTTTTATAAATTCAATAGAGAATTATGATATTCTAAAGTTATCTTTAAGACACACTTGTATTCAATTTTAATGTTTTATAAATTCGTAGTTTTACCATTCAAAACTTGATACTTTGTTATGATATAATTAAATTCAACCACAGTGTAAATTTAGTTAGTTTATTAAACAATTTTTTTTTTTATTTTAACCAAGCTACAATTCAAAACAATTCTTTTTAGTAGAATAGGTTAGAATCAATGATAGTATTCCTAAATCTATCAAACATATCCTGCTACTCTTTTTTTAATTATTTTGGTTTTAGTATAATTTGTAGAAACATACGAATTACATATTATTTTAATGTACTGAACTAACTATGTAAAAATAGTAAAATCTTATAATTCAATTATTTGAATGTTTTTTGTTTGTGTACTGCATTGCACCTGATAAAATATATAACAACTTTATTTGTATTAGGCATAGTTGGAATATACAAGATGATTTTTAATATATACATGTGAGAAATTTTATTAGCACATTTTATATTTATTTACAAATTAAATACATTATATTTATTTATTCCTAATAAATCATTTAATGTAGATTATTGATTTCGTACAAATTTTAAGGCACACTGTTTATATGATACGTATGTGAATGTGTAAACATGTATTGTACAACATATATGTTATCTACAATACCTTAAAATTTTGTAGTGTTATTGTTAAACTAATTTAAATGTGTGTATGTAACACAAGATTCAATGACTGTAATAATAATTAACAACAATGTTTTAATAACGGAAAAATAAATCTAATAGAAAAAGATCGGCAACTAGATGATTATGAACCAATCAGAGTACTCATAGGACGTTTGCCACACAATATTGGAAATCCGCAATGAAATTGAGCAAATCAATTCAATATGAACTGAACCTTATATAAAGCCAAAATACAATTCGTGGTTTCTAAAGTGTCGAAAAACCACCGGATATTTTTGCCGAAGCACAAGATACCTAGCGACATGGAGAAGGTCGTGCTCGACAAGACCGACGGAACAAGTGTCTGTGTACAAGATGGCGGCGCCCGGGGCCTTAACTGTCGTGAAAATCGCCAGGAAGTAGCCCGTAAACGGAAGCCGCGCGGTGTCGCAGCGAGCCGCGGATCCCCGCTCCGAAGGATGTGATCCGAGGAAGAAGAAGAAGAAGGCCGAGTCCGGGCCAGAGGAGCCTTTTCTACACTGCCACGAGGAAATCCGGATTATCCAACTTCCTCGGGCTAGTATCGTGATCGTCTTCGTGGCCACGCTGACGATGGAGCCCAGGGAACGCTACCAGGAGCTCTGCAGACTTTGCGCATCCTACGACGCCGTCAAGATGGACATTTTCGGTCAAGAGGGCAAGAACAGACAGCTCGTTGACAAGATACAAGCTTGTCTGCCGTTTAAGGTTCGTCTTCGATCGTCTACAAGATACACGTTTCTTGTGTATCAAGCTCTCTTTGCTTCGTGTCAGCTTGATGTTTTGCAAATGTTTCCCTTTCAATGAAAATTCGCTTCCGATTTATTTATGTCAGAAATGTTTTGTACTAATGTTTTTCATTTCCTACATTTAAATGTGTTTCTTAATAATTTACAGTTAATTGGTTTAATACTACTTCTTTTCTTTTACATTTGCGACAGCAGAGATTTGATCAACTTTACTTAATTTTTCTGAATCATTTCTAAATGTTTTCTTTTCAATGCGTTTTGTAATTATGCTTTAATACATATTTTAGTTTATTGATTTAAGAAAAAATTTATTTTGAAAAGTGTGTTCATTTTTTTTTTTCATAAGTTTTTCAACGA